GCGCCTGTAATCCCAGGTACTTGGGAGGCTGAGGCAGGAGAACTGCTTGAGCCCAGGAGGCAGACGTTGCAGTGAGCCAAGATCACGATATTGTACTCCAGCCTGGGCAACAGAATGAGACCCACAACAAAACAAAAAAAAATTATCAGGACATGATGGCCTAACTCCCTGCTACTCAGGAGGCTGAGGCAGGAGGATTACTTGAGCCTGTGAGGCAGAGGTTGCACTGAGCTAACATCGCACCAGTCAAGGCGACATAGTGAGACCCAGTCTCAAAAAAAAAAAAGACAAGAAAAGAAAAATTTCAGAGTAGCACTGTACATCAGAACTTTCCGAGATGATGGAAATAGTGTCACTAGCAACATGACTAAACACTTGGAATATGGTTAATATAACTGAGGAGCTGAGTTTTTAATTTTAATTATTATTATTATTATTGTTATTTTTGAGAGGGAGTCTCATTCTCTCGCCCAGGCTAGAGTGTAGTGGCGCGATCTTAGCTCACTGCAACCTCTGCCTCTGGGTTCAGGCGATTCTCTTGCTTCAGCCTCCTGAGTAGCTGGGATTACAGGTGCCCGCCACCACACCTGGCTAATTTTTAAATTTTTATATTTTTGGAAGAGATGGGGTTTCACTATGTTGGCCAGGCTGGCCTTGAACTCCTTACCTCAGGTGATCTACCTGCCTCCCAAAGTGCTGGGATTACAGGTGTGAGCCACCACACCCTGCCATTAATTTTAAGTAATTTAAATTGCCACATGTTGCTATTGATTACCATACTAGACCCGCTTCAGGAAAAAAAGGAAGATGCTTCTGCTGTCATCATCCTTAAACCAGCCCTCCTCTTCCTGGTTAATCACTGCTTCTATCCTTCTGATCACTTCTCTAGCACCCTTTCTGAACTGAGGTCCTGTAAAAGAATTTAGTTCGATTAAAAAAAACAACAACAACAACTATCTGGGCAGGGTGTGATGGCTCATGCCTGTAATTCCAGCACTTTGGGAGGCTGAGGCAGAAGGACTGCTTGATCCCAGGAGAGCAGCCTAGGCAACATAGTAAGACCATGTCTCTACAAAATAATTAAAAAATTAGCCAGGTATAATGGCACATGTCTGTAGTCCCAGCTACTTGGGAGGATGAGGTAGGAGAAGAGCTGGAGCTTGGGAGGTTGAGGCTGCAGTGAGCCATGATCATACCACTGCACTCCAGCCTCGGCAACACAGTGAGACCCTGTCTCAAAAAACCAACCAAATAAACAAAAAAACCCTGAGTTATTATTTTTTCAATTACTCCAAGGATAGTACAGCGGTGAAACCATTCCAGATACACTGCACAGAAGATAATCCATTATATCCAATGGATTCCTTAGGGCTTTAGGGCTTCTCTTACAAACCAGTTCTAGTGGCTTCCACATTAGCAGCAACAGGATAAGGGGAGAAATAGCCAAGTATTCATATTCATATGAACAATGTGCAAAGTGGGGGTATGCATGCTTATAATTGCCAGTATAGCTACTGGGGCTACTCTCACTATTTTAATTACAAACTTAAGAATTTACTACAAAACTGTATCTAGAGAGTCACACAAGCTTCTGTCTACTTAAACAAAGCAGTTACAGATGAGAGATTAGCAACAATGGTTATATACACTTTTTTTTTTTTGAGACACAGTGTTGCTCTGTTGCCCAGGCTAGAGTGCAGTGGCAGGATCTCAGCTCACTGCAATATCCACCTCCCAGGTTCAAGTGATCCTCCTGCCTCAGCCTCCCACGTAGCTGGGATTACAGGCACATGCCACCACACCAAGCTAATTTTTGTATTTTTAGTAGAAACGAGATTTCACCACGTTGGCCAGGCTGGTCTTGAGCTCCTGGCCACAAGTGATCCACCTGCCTTGGCCTCCCAAATTGCTGGGATTTCAGGCATGAGCCACCATGTCCTGCATGTATGAAATATTAAATGCCCCACCAGCACCATCTTAACTTGCTTATTTTATAGTTCCGCAGTTTTACCATTTTCCTACAGTAATAAACTACTTCCTGAATAATTTGTAATTTTTCTCTACCTAAAATTGAAATTTCTTTTTTTTTCTTTTTTTTTTTGAGATGGAGTCTTGTTCTATCGCCCAGGCTAGAATGCAATGGCGCGATCTCAGCTCACTGCAACCTCCACCTCCCAGGTTCAAGCGATTCTCCTCCCTCAGCCAGCTAAATGATTAAAAACAGTTAACTATAGGACATTAAAACATAGTAATCCAATAATAGTAGTAATCATGCCTGTAATTCTAGCACTTTGGAAAGCCAAGGTGGGAAGATCGCTTGAGCCCAGCCTGGGCAACACAGTGAGGCCCTTTAAGTAAGTAACATAAGTATGTATGTAAATAAATGAGACACTGTCTATTGTACTTACTTCTGTATAACATTTTGTAAGCTCAACATCATACCCAGTTCTCCTTTCATCTTTTCTCTGTTTGCACGGCATTCTGCCAAGTATCGAAGAGCCTACAGTAGAAACAGTAATAAGTTAATTCGTCTCTCCAGACTATTCAAAATTGAAATTACTACCAACTTATTGCAAGAAAACAAAAACAAAAAAAGAGAAAATAGGTTTTTGTTTTTAGAATAAAATCCTTTAAATGTGATGATTCAGAATTATTCCCTAGGGAAGAAATGATCCTTTGAGCTATAACAGCTGATCTACTCTTTGAAATGAAGGCTCCTAACTTATTCACAAGTCTCAAAAAAAATTAAAAAAAAAAAAAAAAGATGGGCACTGGGTGGCTCACGCCTATAATCCCAGCATTTTGGAAGGCTAAGGCA